ATAAAAAAATGAGTGCAAATCCAACCAAACATCAACAATAAAGAGAAGAAATTGAGAGCAAACCTCAAAATCCCACTGTCCAAACTGGCTTTGGGTCTCAGAAAACCCATCAAAATCATCCACATCCTCCTCATCGTCCTCGTCCTTAAGGCCCTGCACGTTGGATCAGCTCACTAATTCATCCTACTGAGACTAAACAACAAAATTCAACAAAAAGCACACTAATAATACTTCACTCTGCATTAGTGGATCAGCTCACCCCATCAAGCTAATCAGCGAGCCCCCGGATAAAGCGATGGCAAAAATGCCTCGTTCTTTGATGCAAGACTCTGATAAATCAGAAATATATTCGGCCAAATTGCTGCTAAGTTCATCGGCATTCTCGAAAATCCGCAGCTCTTTTCCATCCTTTTTATACCCAGAAAGAGCCATGCTTCTCTCACAAGGACTATACACTAAATTCAAAAGTATCCCCAAAAAAAAAAAGGGAAAATGAATTTTTCAATTTAAAATGATAATTTTCTGCAAATTAATGTCAATCAAGAACCATGAAAAAATTTCACATAATTTGAACTGTAATAGACAACAATTTCACAAACACCCTGACTACATAGTCCAAGCTGCTCAAAACAGACAACATCAACCAACCAAATGAGCTGTAATAAAACATCCATCAAGATTCAAGAAAAATACACACATTTAGCTTCTATAACACATTAATGGCTAATTCTACTGTGATTCTCAACACCCACAAGCAAAAAGATTGCATTTTTTTCCACATTAGAAAGCACCAACACATAAGTACCACAAAGAACAACAAAAGCAATCAAGAACAAATCAAAGCATATGCCCATTAAACCTCAAATTCAGCATATGCAAGCAAATCAAAGCAAGCCCATTAAACCCCATTAAAAAAAAAATTATGTATTTACAAATTCTTGCACGACCAAGCCCAAATTGTGACGACCCAGAACAAACAAACACAAAGGGAACACAAAAAAACAACATAACATAAGCAAAATTGCGTTCTTGCTAACTGCAAATCACATAAATAATAATGTAATCAACAAATTAAAAAAAAAAAAAGAAGAAAAAAAAAGACATAGCCAATAATTATTCAAGAGATAATCTGAAGCATAACCGAGCGGATAAAGATGGAATCGCACAGAGGAAAGAGAAAAAAGGGAACGAGATGTTGCCTGAGATGTCGTCTCCATAAGTCTGTAAATAGTTTACGTCGCTCACAAGCGTGGAACGCCAACCTCAGCCGTTGTCACCGATTTCAGAGAATTGAGAATCAAGAGAGAATGAGAGGAAAGAGAGAAGGCAAATGGTTTGTGAATCGAGAGAGATGAGAGGAAAGTGATAGGGAAAATGGTTTGGGAAGAGAAAAGGTGAGACTATTGGAAACTTCATAGAGAAAGAAATGAGAAAATCAAATCAAAGAAAAGAGATGTGCAGATTTTGAGGGAGTAAATCTCACAATTCACGGAAATCACATCACACAAGACGTGGAGAGAGGCAGAAGTTGCAGAAAATCCCAACTTTGGGAAAGAAAATCTCAACTGCTCGACTAATTTCTGGGACACGTGTCAATAAAGGAAACAAACCAAGCCCATTAAACGTCGTCGTTTTAATTGCTAGCTTTGAAAAAAAAAATATTGTCAATTTGCTAATGGGACACGTGTCGCCATTTTAAGTATACTAAATGGGACACGTGTCGCCATTTGAAGAAGTCTAACTCTCCCATATAAGATATAAGGGAGATATATATTTTGCCTCACTTCTCATATATTAATGAATAATTTCCATATACATTAAAAATAAGTTGTATGCAATTTTCTCAACTAAACTTTGTATTATACACATTTAACCGGCCCAAACTAATGGGGCCTAGAAAAGCCCCTTTGAGTTTTGAGAAATTTACACAATTTACATTCTAGGCACAAAATAATAACAGATTTACGAACCCAAAATTTTTTAATCAGAATTACGTTAGGGGGATAATTAAAATGATAATTAGGGCGGTTAAATTGGCCTAATTAACCGTTAAATACAATTAAGTATATAATGCATTATCTCTTACACATGATTCTCGGGAAAAGTGATCTTCTCTCCATATTTACACTCATCCTCCTAAAAAAAAAGCTGAAAATCTTTATCACTCTCTCCAAATCTCGAGAAAATAGAACTGTAAAAATAGAACACTATCAACCATCTCTCTCCCCAAAAAAAAAAAATACATTCAGATCTCAATTGAAAGAAAAAACCTCATCACATGAACCTAGATATCACCGGCGAACCTCCAGCATCAGAAGGACGTCTTTCCGACCACTCGCCCAAAATCCTCAGGTTACCCAGAACCTGAGGATGTTTCTCCGACGAGTCGTGTCAATACCGCAGTGTACCACATTTTTGCCGTTGAAATTGTGAATAACAATGGCAAAGGAAAACAAAATCGAGAGCAAACCCTCCAAAAGTGAAGACGAAGCAAGGATTACTCGCTCCCGATCTCGTCGAAAAGCCCAATTTCAACCCCGCGAGCGAAAGATTATACAAAAAAAACTTCAATTTCAGAAAATAGAGAAGACCGCCGAAGATGAGTCGGACGACGACGACGATTTCGTCTCACAACATCAAATGAAACAAAAAGCAAAAAAGATGACCCCAGACACGAAGAATAAGAGGGTTCGAAGAAACAGGGTCGAGGCAAAAATTGTTGAAACACCAAAGAATCAACAACAGTCTGATTCGGATTTCGATATTCATGACGAGGAAGAATCAAATTCGAGTGAAGTGGGTGCGGATGTTCCAAAGAATGAC